AAAAGCAAGGAACGGAAGGCTAGTAGATGCAGCAGTGGAAAGCAAAAGTAATTGAAATCTCTCAATTAAAAAAAATAAACTGTTTCAGGTTTAGGTGCTGATGAAGTAATCAATAAACAGATCGCTCATTGGGCATATAGTTCAATTTTGGCATTAAATTCTTAGGCCTAGTAAGCAGACACGATTGTGTGAATCCCACAAAACTAAGACTTAGTACAAGCTCGCAAATAAGGATAAAATCTCCAATACTAATACTAGTTATTGTACAAGAATTGTATTGTGAACTTGTTTCTAGCTTTCCTTATCTCTTCCTGAAAAGTTTTCACTGATATTTCTTCTGAGAAAAATAATCTAACTCATGCTATAAATGCAAAGGCAAGACGTATAAACAAAAGCTACCTGGGATCCCAGTTCTCTTCACACAGCTTTTTTACACAGATGGAACACCTGCAGATAAGATACACCCATTTAACCAAGAAAAGAATCTGAATTACTGGATCGATCCAAACCTCATTTTCATTTTTACTCCAATAATTAACTAACAATTTAAAGAAAATATCTGATATACAGCATATTCTTTAGGCTCATCTTTTATACCACATACTATAATCCAACACTTTCCCTTTTCTCCTCTTCACTTAAAAGAAATAAGTCTATTCTTGACCAAAAAAAAACAGATTTTGCATCCCATTAGGACCATCTATGTGAGTCCTTAACTCTAAAAAAAGTGAAAAAATAAGGTAACAGAGTCCTAGCAACAGTTAAAATGTAAGTAGTGCTTTCTGCCAAGTCTGAATGCCCTTTACAAAGTCCTACTTGATTTTTTCCTAGCTGTTTTATAAATGGGAATAAATAAATAAATACAGAAATAAATTATTTTCCAAAGGTCATGCAGAAAGAAAGAATGGATTAGCCCATGGTTTAAGCACCAGATTAGATCTTAAAACATGGTGACTCTGCCACTAAACCTCTTGTGCAACCTTGTACCAGTCACTTAATATAATTTTATTTTCTACAGATAGCATAAAAAAACCAATACCAGCATGTAAGATCTGTGAGGAACTGCAACCATATGACACAGAAGCAGAAGTGCCAAGAATAAAATTCATGCTTTTGACTCATGCCCATCTATTTTACGACTCCCTCCTTGGATAAGCATAAGCGTGTAGTTCAAAATACAGGATGCCTCCAGAAACACAAGTACATTGGGATAGCACACTAAGAGAGAAGCCTATTAAATAAAACAAGCAACAATTTCTGAAAGAGAAATTCATACAGCCTTGCACTTTTCTAAACAGTTTTCTTATATTCTCATAGTCATTAAAATGTGTAAAAATGATTATTTCCAAAACAGCATTACCATGAATTATCACCACCCCTGTTGCCTAGCAACTGGAGTAATTTTTGAATAGTGAGCTATATAAACCAGTATCTGGAGTTTGTGCAAATGGGTATTCATTTGAGGGTTTAAAACACATTCATCTTGGAAATCAGAGGCAGATAATGCAGCACTAATGTAAAGCTGAAATGCTTTAAAAAAATAAAATGTCACTAACAATTACTGCAGCTTAGCAAAACCCTCCTCCTGTAGCAGATCTGAGCTCTGTCAAACTTGGTCAGGGCAGGAGTTGACTCCCTTGCTCTTCCTTGGGCTTGCAAGTGTCCCCTTCCAATTTTTATGAAGATATTTGACATTGCTGCGGAGAAAATAATTCTTGCCCAGTCTTTTGAGGGATTTGCTTATAACTCAAGAGCAAAAGAAACTGGTGACATTAAATGGCAATGTATTTAAGTCAAACTAAAAGTTCTATTTTTATATAACATACTGAGCTGGAAGAACACACTGGTTCATACCATGACAGAATGATGTGCTTAGTAAGGTTCAAAATAGGTCTGGACATTAATAGTGACAAAGAGATAACCAACTGAGATATTAGAGTGAGATTATAAGTACATATGTGAAAGACACAAACTCCCAGAAATCACAGCCTGGTCACTCATTAGCTGCATGTAGTTGCCCATTATAGTGATTCTTGCCCATTCTTCAGACCCACGTGGAATTTAACTTGAATGCAGGACAAGATCCCAAACCATATCAACCTGTATTGTTTGATGTCTGCGAATTTCTACATTACTTTCTTAGAACTTCAGAAGACAAGTTCCTGCTAAAGCTAGAGTCAACATGTGTTACTATTCCTAAAATGGGGGGGGGGAGGGGTGGCAGTGTTCCCAAGGGAGAAAGATTCCAACTTAATGGCTTCCATGGCTTAGCCTTATGGGTAAGGAAAAAAATGCAATATGTGCTGAACACCAGCGTGTGTTTTTCATAGAGACTGCAAGCGGAGAGGCAAATTCATCCCTGGCATAAACACAATAAAGACATAGCCCACTGAAGGCAATGCAGGAGCATCTGCTTATACCAGCTATGAATCTGAACAAGCTCTTCCCTACAACTACTACCCGTGGAGATAAAGCGGGATACAGCACTGAAGGGAGTTTAAGAGCCTGCAGCCTCTCAGACTTTAGAGAACTAAATTTCTGCAGTAAGAGAAAACCTGATGTCTATGATATTGTGAGTTCTCGGCTCCCAGGAAGCAGTGCCTACTGACAGGCTGCCATAAAATACTTAATGGCTGTTTAATAGCTCAGATAAAGAAAAGATGCTCCATTTTGTCTGCTGCTCTATGGAAATTTGCTGAGACCACACAGACAACATGCAGTGCTGTCACATACGAAAACACTTCCGTTGTTTTCCTTTGGTCCCACTCAAAAAAGGCAGTTAACAAAATTTTAATTTTATCCTTAACAATGAAAGAGAACACCCCTAAAGAAAGGGAAATGATCTCCCCTAGATAGGCTAGCTGTTGCTCTAAACAAGAGGTGCTACCGAACACGTATCACATCAGTCTATGGGATGCTCAGCCTCTTCTACAATGCAGCACACATCCCTCCCCCTCCTGCCTCTCTTCTCCACGGAGGAGCAGCACACATCTGTACTGCCGGATCACCGAGCAAACAGTGTTTGCGCTCACCCAGCCACCAAGACTCTCATTTCCATTGCTTGTGAATAGATCACATTTGGGAAAAAATGCTTTCTGCACTCTTCTCAGCAAGAAGTGGACAAAATTTGCTCCAACATATGCCAACATGTTTTTCAAATTACATTTTAAAGGTCCTCCTTAGAAACAGAGACATTGCCTCTGATTTACAGATGACAAACCACTTCTCTATACTTATACTCTTATACTACCTGCTTTTATAGGAGCAAATTCAAGAGGAGATGCTGGCCTGAAGAAGAAAGCAGTACAGAAACATTGATGACAAACCACTTCTCTATACTTATACTCTTATACTACCTGCTTTTATAGGAGCAAATTCAAGAGGAGATGCTGGCCTGAAAAAGAAAGCAGTACAGAAACATTGATGAGCAAGTGTGCTGGCACCTCTGGCTGCGTAAGCTTAGAAGTGCAATAGCTGGGAATCACAGCAGAAAGAGATTGGTAGTGCAGCAAGTAGAAGACACGTTTGGTAATGCTTTTCTCCCAGTCACGCATTGCCAGGAAAGACAGCTGTTGTATTTGGTAACTATTCCTTGTGTGTTTAGTTCTAGCCTAGGGAGCATCATTAACATCATTTTTAACAGGAAGGAAGACAGGTTTTTGATAAGCGTAATTTGAGCTACACTTTGTGAAGTGCAGAGTTCACACTATGACTAGGTGCATGATCCACAAAACATTTCATGAACATTTAAACGTACAAATTTGGTTGGCCCTTAACTGAATTCCAGTCTGACTGAGCTCCAGAAACAGGAATATTTCTAGACAGCATGTTTTAAGCCCAGACTGCCAAATAATTTTGGAAAATACATGATAGAAGAAAAATAAAATTATAACCAAACTCAATTCATCTTTATTTTCCAAAATGAAGACAACACCAAAGAAGTAAAACTTGTCTATACTTTGCAATCTTGAAGAACATGAGAAAATAATCACGTTTGCAGCCTTTAAAATGATAAAAAGGGTAAAATGTATGGACTGAAATATGCTCTGTGAATGACTTCGTTCGTTTTTCATGTCATCTTGTTGTTCCTAACTCCAGATCTCATATACATGTCCTTCATGAATGGTGACATTCATTAGCAGTTTGATTACAAGATGCTACTGTAAGCCATTCCTGCGATGATAGTTGCTACTCCCTAAACTTTAGGCTAGAGAAAAGCAATACCATACACAAAATCGGAAACTTCTCAATAGGAAGGCTGTATGACTGTCTGGGTTGGGTAATGAATCCAAACTTGCCTTCAGACCTGCACACATGACAAATGGGGTGAGACAACGACGAAGAGAAATGAGTACAAAACATACCCACTAGGTGAGCAATTCCTCTAATTTCCTAGAAGCTCCCTGCAGTAGCAAAGGCCACTTGTCTAGTGTGACTAGAAGGGCCTACTTCTTTTTTGCAAGTGAAAGGCTGACACTGAGATTCAATTCACACAAAAATAAAATACAAAGTAACCTTGGATCACAGAAAGAATCTCATGACAAACACGCATGCTCATTGTGACATATATTTTCAAGAAACTAAATTCCACACAATGGACAGCAAAATAATTTTCTCTATAGTGCTCCATTATGGCAACAACATTTGTCTCTCTGGAGCAAATCTGAAACTGGCTCTCAGATGTTTTGAAACATTAAGGAAATCTTTGAAAAGTCCTAGAAAACAGAATTGTAATGTGCTGAACTTCAAGCCTTAAGATCTTTAAGACACCTGGGTCCTATTTCAGCAGGCTTCTTCCTTTGAAACCTGAATGTCAAATACAGTGTAGCTACCAGATGTAAGGTTAGATCAGGTGTCACTGAACCTTAGGCAGGTTTTGCTGTACCTCAAGAGGGCTGCACTGACCCCAGCAGACTGCTTACCCCAAGTCTGCCTCAGGCCCAGACAAGCACGCTGCTTGCAAGCATCCCCTCATTAGGTGCACATAGAATACCACTTACTTGTACGGGATGTGTTTGCTTCCATTGACAAGGGCGAGGATGACATTGCCCAGTGCTGACAATGAGAGACAGAGGCCAGAGCTTCCCTCCCGGTTTTTGCTGAGCACTTTCACACAGCTACCCAGGTCAATAAGGTGCAAGCGGCTGCGGCCTCCAGACACTGCCATAAACAAAGAAAGCAAACAGTTAGCATGTGCCTCCAAAAGCAGCTTCCCAGGAAAGCAAAAGACTCGCCATGACTTGTGAAGAGGAAACAATCCAAAAACCTTTCCTAATTCATGTTAGCGGCAACAAACCATAGGGGTCCTGTTAACTCACTGTCAGCCTTTATTGCTGTACATTGCTGTCCATTCCAGACTTGCTTAAAAATTGCTGAGGCTTTCAGTACTCACCCGCTGCTGCAGGTTTAACTCTGTGGGAGTCACCACTGTGCTTTTTTTTTTTTTTTTTTTTTATATAGCTCTATTAACCTGTACCTGAGTTGGCTCTGTTTCTGCCTCTGTCATTACGGATCCTCTGTCCAGAAAACTACAGGCTGGGAATTGCTACTTCGTGAGCAGTGATCCTGTGGTAGCTTCTCTTATCTTTCCCATCTTGAATACTGGATCTTCAGAAGAACCTGTGGCGTCTGTGGGACGTTCAACTTTGCTTTAAGTCTATATGCTTTTACATTAACATTTGGACTAAGAAAAGATTTGCCATGCCATGGGTAATGGATTGTGGACAAGCTGCTCTGTTCTGAAAATAATTTCTGTAAAACTGGCAGTGGATCCCTATGGTTTTTTTCTTGTTTACTCTGTATCTACACACTGCATTTAAAGTGAAAAGATGCTACTATTGAAACACCAGGATTAACAGACATTTGCTCTCTTTAAAAACCTATGGTTCCTTATGAACCTAGGATGAGGACTATGTAGACTTTACAGAAGTGCTTCTAATTCTCTATTACCCCAAGACAATTTCCTAGCTGGGTTTTTTTGCATCTGATCTTTGACCACTCCTTCCTATTCTCAAGAGTTAGTTTAGAAGCCATCTGTAGGAAAAGGAAGTTTAATTTCTAGGATCTTAACTCAAAAGGTAAGAGTGCTATTGGAAGATACAAACATAACTTAAACAGGAGTGGAAATACCTTCACATCTGTGTTTACCTCTGTGCAAATAAATTCACAGTCATTTTGACACGGCACTGCAACTTATGCATCTGGTAAAAAAAAGTATTAGCGGTGGGGGGAGACCAATTCATAAGCAAAGATGGCGATGGGAGCAACTACATGATGGGGACATGAAGTTTCCAGATACGTTTCATTGCTTTGGAAATGTCTTATCAACCACAAGCACGTTTTTCAGTGACCCTGCCATTCAGTAGCTGTGGTACCATGCCATGGTATACAGGCATGTAGGAGGTAGCAGGAAATAAATTTACATAGATATGTGAAGAAGACACTTCTAAAACTTCTACATATTGACAAAAAGGTGATACACGATCATATAATTTTGCAGCTTTGCTCATAGAAAGTCTACTACGAAAAATATATAGAAAACATACAGCTACTAAAGGTATATATAACTATTAGCTGTAACTTAAAATGTGTTAACCTACACTGAAAAAATAAGGAGAGAGATATTTCCTTTTGCAAGCACTCCAAAACACAGGGCTCACTGCTTATTGCTACTACCTGGTGTCTTGCATGACACAAAACTTTCTATAAAAAGGTAAAGCCTTTCTGTAGAATGTGTTATATATAATTCTATAATTCTGTTTCGGTTGTAGGTGATAGCTAATTAAAACGAACAACAATAAAACTACAAAAAGATTTTTATGATAAAAGAAAAAAGAAACATGAATAAAGAGAAGGAAGCGAAGATAAGAAAATAAAAGCAAAGCAGAAAGAAAAAAGAAAGAAGAAAGAGAGAAGAAGAAAGAAGAGAGAAGACTTTTTCTGTGAAAGCGGTTTATGCTATGGGATTTGAGAATAATATTCCAAAAATGTAGCCAGCATCTCTGTCAACAATTGTTAAAATATGGGAACTTCTGCTTCTTTTAAGTCCTGTTAGTGCTTCAGCTACATCAGGTATTAGGCAACACAGGACTTCCATGTATTAGATTGTACTGCGATATTGGTTAAGCCATGCTGAGTATCATGAAACAGAAGTGAAGAATAAATGTCTGATTAAAACTAATGTTAGTGGCTAGAAATTCAAAATGCTGTAACCGTCCCCAGATTATATGACAACCCATTAAACATGTCCATGGAAGTTTCACCACTGTGCTCTCAGTGGTGGGAAGTGGTGGGATACTTCTCATGGGGAAGTATCCAGACACACTACGGGCTCCTGCACTCGCTGCAGAAAGTCAGGCTTCCCTGAGGAACCGTCCAGGCAGCTGCACCTTCACCTCCTCTGAACTGCTCATGGAGGACCTTTGCCTCCCCTCTAAGAGTGCTTAAAACTCTTAGACTTAAGAGTCCCTGAGTCCTCTAAGACTGCTACCCTCAGAAGGCTGAAATTACCTTTTTTGAGTATTCCCCAATGATTTACTCAGAAAAACGAGGAAATATGTTTAGTTGCTACTGAAAATGACTGCAGATGACTTTAATGAATTATATGTAATAAATATTTCTGTTGCTAAGATTACCAGACATTAGGGAAACAAAACAAAATGAAAGAAATCACTATCCTTCAAAATCTTAGTCATATTGTTTCCACACATATTCCTATTACACAGGTTGAGGAAATCCAGAATAAGACAAATTATCAGATCTTTCCTTCTTATTTAATTTATAAGTCAAAGTAAGACATTTTTAGGATGGCAGATCCACTTGCTTGATCTGAAAATGAATTTATGTGTTAGGCAAGTTCTCCACTAATGTGCCTGACAACTATACCATTTATTTCAACGGTGCTAAGCCTGCTTAATGACATTCCCGGTAATGAACCTAACAAGGAGGTAGGTACAGCACAATGCATTATTCTAACAGTCATTTTTTACCAAAATCATACATTAGCCAAACCTTTAATCTCTTATCCTTTAGAAGCTGGGTTTCTTTCTTTTTTTTCTTCTTTTTCCTATCCTTTTTTAAACCTGTTGCTGGAATTCATATATCTCTCCTATCTTCACATTGTTTTCTGAAAAGTCCTTCATTACAGCAGGAGACAGTGATAATCACTAGGCGCCCTTTCTGAGCAGCTGAAATTCCCCCTTCTTTCAATTATCAGTGAGATCTGACCCTGCCTGGCTTGTGAGGCCACTCAGATATGGAAACTTGAAGACAGGAGGCGGTACGGCCACGAGACAAAGATATAACTACAAGCAGTGGGCAAAGCATGCCATATTATAATCCAACAGGATCATGTCTTCTTTTTTTAAAATGAGTCATTATAGCCACAGGAAAATATTTTTTCCCTCTTATTAATTGCATTTGAAAATAGTAGAAAAGGACTGTGTGTTCATGTACTTGCACGCAGTAAAAAGCATGGAGCATTAAATAATTGTAATAATAATTCTCTCAAAATCAGCCATCTTTATTCCTATGAACCAGGCCATTTGAGCATTCAGTCTTCTTTTCTACCGCAGGGTGGTTAATTAATAAACCTTTAGTTAATTGAGATTGCTGCCTGCCAATTCCACAGGGGTTATTACTTAAACATATGCAAACTGCATTTCCATTTAGAGCAACATTCTGTTTTTCTCTCTTGTATTCTAAGTACAGTCAATGTAAACTTTCTGCCTTTACAAAGAACCACAAGAGTCCTTTGTGCGCATGTAGTTGGGCCAGCAACTAAAATACCATGTATCTCCAAGAAAAGGTACAGTTTACACATTGGCAACATCAGCTTCCACACACGCTGCCTTATTTAGATGCCGAAGAGGAACAGCTAACGTACGGGTGGCAAGGAATTCCCGTCGCCATAACATTTTAATCCATGACCTCAACACTATCAGTAAAGATAATACTAAAAGCCAATTTGAAAAGCACCTTTTTTTTTTAGATACAGATGCCCACTCAGCTGAGGACTAACTGTTAGTATCTCCACAACTGCAACTAAATTGACAAGTGATGGTAATAATCCCCAGTGGCCTTTAACAGCCTTTGCTGGGTCTTTACCAGGCAGTTGGACAGTCTGCTGGTATGAATGGCCCCACCCCATGCTGAATGGAGAGCTCTGCTAATTTTCACCACTAAGGAACATTGTTTATAGGCCTGTTTAAAGCCAGTTTCCAGGCAGGCTTGGAGGACACAGAAGGGAGCGAAGGGACAGCTTACTTCCGCCTTTGCCGCTCTTCTCCATGCGGTACTGGTAGATGTGCAGAGTGAAGAGCATGTGGGAGTTGCGGTGATCCTCCTCGTCACAGTCGCGCTGGCTGCTGCGACGCGAGGCAATGGCGGCATCGAGGAAGAAGGCAGCCTTCTCTGCCGTAGGGGCGCGGAGCTCGCTCTGATTCTGAAGCTGTGGGTTAACACAAGGAAGAAATGACCTATAAACTCCCACACAAGTCAACCCTACCAGACAACTTCCCGCAGTCAACACACACTGTGGATACGCTGGCTTCTGATGGGACCAAAAAGGAGGAGGTGCCCGATGGAATGAGACCCTCCTGACACTGGCAGTGGCAATACCATGCCCCCCAGGAGCCCCATGATTGAACCCAGGCTTTTGAGGGTTCTCACTTGGGTACCTCTGGTGGCAGTTGTTACACATAAACCCTAGCAACTGGAAACCGTCCTATAGGCTGGATAGATGCATAAATTTGTTCCTTCACTTTCCCAGAATTTTAAGCTATTTATGCTTATTAGTTATTCCTTATTTTCATTATTTTTACTGCCTTTTTTTTCCCTCCATTGCTGGCTCTGGCAATCACTGTATCCTTCTGATGGTTAGAAGTGAAAAAAAAACTTGTGGAAGACACGTCAATCCCAAATTCAACATTGGTGGAGACTGGCAGGGGCAGGACTATGTGTTACCCTTCAGAAAGTGTTAGAAGGGAGCAGTCCACAAATAAATCTGTGAAATAACAGGACTGAAGCTTGTGTTCAGCCCCATAGCATGTGGGGAGCAGCACAGAAGAGAAGCCTTTTTCTTGCCCCTTCATACCACATGCTTATGCACCTGCTCACAAGCCAGGGCAATCCATTAAATGGAACAAGGCAGGTAATGTATATACATTCACATTTGCTGGACCTCAATCCCAGTCACCAGCCTGCTCTTATCTCTCCAAAGTGATAGACAGCATAGGAGGGCAGATATTATTAACCCCCCATAACGTTAGGAATGCATGCACGTTTCATGTCACCTAAGATTAGTTTGTCTGTGGAAGGGACATGTGACTGTGCAATCTGATGGCATTCGTTTTGGCAGTACGCAGAGCTGGCCCACAGCCCATAGGATAGACTTGTTTTGTCTGGCGTAAGAACAGCGAGGAACTCCCATTCTCAGGGTTTGTTCCCCTGCTATGTAATACAGCTAGAAGTTAAGTTTTCCTAAAGAAGACAGTGCTCCTGTCTTCTCTTTGTGACCATTAACCAGCCTGAGGAGGGATAAAGCCGAGGCTCTGCATGGGATGGGGTGACAGAGCTGAAGGCTAAGCTCTCTCTAGAAAGAGGGAGGGGGGCAGGAAGGAGTTAACAAGGCAAGCAGAAGGCAGGCCAGTCTGTGGGCTGATCTCACTAATGTAAGCAACAAGAAAATGTGCATACTTGGAAAGCCCAATGACAGACAGTATGACATATGGTGATTATTCATTTGCTATACATGCTGCTGATTTTGCATATCTCTATGGCTATAATATAATATCCTCCCTTCATCCAAGGATTTTGAAAATTCTGGTGTAGGACACATGACTCCAGAATGTCACTGTGTCTTGTAAACACACATAAAAAGGCTTTTTTTCTTGCAATTTACTTCAGTATTTTACACTGCAGAGATACACAGACATCTCAGGGAGCTACATTTTCTCCACTGATCTAAAATAATTCTGCTGTTCTGCCTGTATCTATATGAAAATAAGCAACAATAATGGGATATTTATTATTATTGCTATTGTGTTTAAATACCTTAGTAAAGAAAAGGAGAGGCTAGTTGTTACATAGTTATGTAACATATGTGACATACATATGCTAATTCAGATCTTAACTGGCCCATCTATCACCCCAACGGGAACTGTGAAGACTCAAGTCTCCCATCTCACTAGACTGCACCCATTACTGGATACCAGAGGGTGAGATCTCCTGTGATACTGTAAGTATTTCATAAAGCACTAAAGCCAAGAGTCAAGTGAGAATGAGAACGCTAATTGTTATTTAAAACCAAGACGCAACTTTGTAGTCCTCGGTTAGAATGGAAGAGAATGGAAAATATGATCTAAGTATGTCCAAAAGGCTTAAACCACAGAGAGATACACCACAAAATTTATTACTTGTTGTTTAAAACCTCACGATTCGTTACTTTTGTGGATGTGAATCATGATTTCTAAATGCTTGGAGCTGGAAATAGGGTACAGGACCCTGTAGGTCTGTTCCCTCCTCCCTCCGTTCCCGTCCTTGGATAGGCAGTGCTCTGCACGTTCTGGATGGAAGCAGCCTTTGCCTTTAAGGTTGAAAGAATGTATTCAAGCTACATCCTGCTGGTTTGCTCCGTCTTCATCTACTCATACAAAAATCAGATTCACTCCCTCATAGACAGCAAAATGAAAGAATAGGCCTCAAACCAAGAGGGGAAAAAAAATTGAGCTGCTGAGACTTTCTCGCGATTACCCAGAAAATACATGAGCCTGTTACTCCTTCCTGCTAAACTTCCAAACCTGAGAAGAGTTCGAGTTATTCTTGGCTTGCCCAGCTCAGGAATTTATTTCTTGGCAGCAATTAATAAGTAGCGATTAATGCTTTCTACAACATTGCTAATGCAAGTGCTATAAATAATGTAGTTTATAAAGAGATAAACAGCCATGTTAATGGCCTCCAGCTATTTGTGCAGTACTGTAAATATTTTAGCTTGTTGTTTTACAAAAGAGAGATCACACTTTCTTTTTATTTTTTTTTCAAGAATGAGGTGAATTTTTGTTTGCACTGAATGTTTTCACATTTTATTGCAAACACAAGCCCCTGCTCAACATCAGTTATACCAGAGGTACAAATATTTAGGCCAGGAGAGCAGATGGCCCTGCAGCTGCAGGTCATAAAGTTCTTGCATGTTTTAAAGTAAACACTTTCAAGTCTATAAACTTCATGCTCTGGGTAGTTCTTGAATTTGAACCATCTCAATAGCTCAAAAAAAAAAATAGTCACACTGCTTGTTTCAATGTAAAATGAACCTTGGATTCACCTGCATGCCATAAATAGGGTCTTCACAAAGGTAGACACCTGGGGACTGGCCATCTTGCAGGCTGCCTGTAGCCACGTCTGACAACAGGTCTCTCAGATTTTCTTCTTTCCCCCACACTTCCACGGCAGAAATTCGGACTGAGAAGCGGGCTCCTGTCTTCTCTTTGCGTTCATTAATCAACTTGAAGAGCCAGGAGATGGCACAAGGGATTATGCCAAGGTTTTGCATGGAATCATCCTTCCCAATCATGGTGTATGACTTCCCTGTCAGGAACAGGGAGATGGAGAAAAGATAACAACATTACTCCCAGGACCTTCACAGCCTTCTGCCAAGAGAGATTATCCTGCACAGCCTCATGAAAACAACTTCTTTGCTACAATAAGGACAGTCAGCAAGGGAGAAACATAGGCAGGCAGACAAATAGTACATGGAAACTAGAGAGTATTTAAAACTGACAGATGAAATCTTGAGCTGCTTTCAAAAATCATTGCCTCATGCATTCCCCTGACATTCCCCATTCTCCAGGCAGGGTGCTGCAGGTCCCTACCACACAACACTGCAGCCTCTGATGTGGGTGAGTACTGGGGGGAATTGAGCAGAGCAGGAGTGCAATGGTCTCTAAAAGTCCCTGCTTTAGATACTGTGGGTGTGGTATTCTTTGAATACCATTTTACTTCAAAGCACTATATTATGCTTCATACGCTGAACTTGGGATTGACATAAACCTGGTCCCAGGATCATAAAGATGTAACTTCCTACAGAAAAAAAAAAACCAGGTGCATGTGGTCATTTGGTGCATAAGTGGGTCCACACCAAGAAATATTTTATCTGGGTCAAAATCTTCCCCTGGTTTGCTATTATTTGAGTCTGCAATTATAGCTCTGGCTTGACTCTCTAAAGGACATGTAGACACCGTTACCTGGTGGTTTTCTTTTCCATCTCATTTGACATCTTGTGTTTGGCAGGTCACAGGGGGTTAAACATCCAAGTGCTCATCCTAGCATTACTCCTGCCTGGCCCGGGGGGCCTTGTGGTTAGTTGGAGCAGTAGCCCTGCTCCATTCATTATACCAGAGCTGGTGGCATTGCAGCATTCAGTACTCTCCAGTTTTTGTTGCCTATAATTTGGGATAATCATGGCCTGATACAGCTTGGTCTTCTTTATCACTTGAAAAACTGAATTATCCTTTTCAGTTGTATGTGTACATGTGTTTCTTTGAGACAGTAAAGAATGGAGATCATTGCACACATACAATACAACCCTCTTCATTGAAGAGACAGTATTTTCAAAATACTATTAGATAACTATGAACAAAATATATGATTACACTTGAAATCCAGTTATTTCAAAAGAATAGTTGTTAATGATGATGATTCTCCTTTTTATTGTCTTTCCATGAATACCTGAAATGCTGTTGATGCGTTTGCAAAGAGTGAGTTTTGATCCATTGCTATCATTCAGTTAACCATTAGAATAGAATATAAATCAAACTATTTGAGTGCCCAGTCACAGCGCTTGAATAATGCCGTCACAAACATCAAGTACTTGAGTGGATACAGCCTTTACACAGCTTGATAAAAGTGGTATTTTGGTAAACAGTCTCCAATATCAAGCACATTTGTAAAACTGTAGATCACTGTTGGATCATTCATTAACAATTGAAGACAGTGCTAAAAATTGTTATAGTACTCAGGGGATGGAATGAAGCAACAACTCAAAGATAACTTCTGTTTCAAAGAGCATGCTGTCCAACATTTAGACAATATGCAAAGTGAATAGATGTGTAAGCAAGAGGTCAAGGTGTAGTACAAGGTCATGCACCGTGTACCACTTTCAAATACAATTACTACACACAGACAAATGAAAGTTTGTTTTCCCTAATTTAATGTACTAGCAATCTTGGGTTAAAAATATTCAGTTTGCTGCATGAGTAGGGAAATTTAACAATACCAACCAAGCTTGGCATGGCCAAAGCAGAACACGCAGCCATCTGCCCCATTAACCACAGACTGGATCACCTCAGCCACAGTCCCAGCACATACTTCAGCCTGTCACAGGTATTTAAAAAAAAAAAAAAAAAAAAAAAGAAAAAAAGAAGAAAAAAGGAAAGAAAAGAAAACCGTTAACAAAAATAAGGCAAATCAAGAGAGTATTTTTACTGGAAAATGGTCATAATGTCATCAGTGCTCCAGATAGCATGCTGAAGTATCAAAAAGTCTAATCCTGCTTGTCTCATTCATGTGATCTAAGCTGTTGATGGGAATGACGTTACTTGTGAAAGCACATGAAGCAGGACTTTTGCCCTGTGTCAAGTAAGTTTCATTTGCTGAAGCATCAACATCCTTTGTGGGGTTAAACAAAATACACATACTGTAAGGGGATGTGGTTGGTTTGTTAGAACTGCTTATTTAGGGGATTTCAAAAATATATTTTTGATTAAAAAACAATCAAATACTGAGGAATTTTTACAGGCTCTATTGTTTGCCCACTTATGGAATTCAATTCCACTAGCAGGTGGGTAAATAAAGTAAGGGGAACAAACAACTTCTTTGGTATTAGTTAGGTGAAATTTCCTAATTTTTCTCTACATTATTATGAGTCTTCTTAGCTTTTAGCAGCAGTAGGCTCCATCCTGAAGACTGTAGCAGTATTTTAAGAAGTACAACACACAAATTTACCCTGGGCGTTCTTAGATTTACGGTTCAAGCAGGCTGAATGGTCTACAGTGCTTCTGCAGCAACTGCCTATCAATAGTGGGTGAAACTAAATCAGAATTCGCAGTTTAGGCTTTTATGTGAAGCATTTCACATTTGATAAATCATGTAAATTCACCTAGTTCATGGGTATTTCTAGACTATCTCTATAATAGTAAACAAAACGGGCCAAGAAAGTGACTGTTCACAGGCCAGCCCTTGAACTGCAACCAGGCACTAGTCTGGGAGGTGCTAGCTGCCTGGACCAGAACTAGGTCAGGGATTGACCTAATGATACGATCACACGACAGTGCTTTAGCTGGCCCTGCGTCCTAGCTCTGTTTAGTTTATGAGTACAGAAGCAGCCTTACAGTACTGTTTTCTAGTTATACTTTGCAATGTTACTTTATTCTTCTACTGTCCTCCTCATGACATTTGGGTAATATAGTCCATCAAACCAAAGAAATCTAATAAAAATAAGAAACCTGAATATATACATATGAATAAAGATTTGTAGACTAAAATCTCCATCATCCTATCGTAAACTGTGCAATAGAACACTGTATAAATAATCCTTGACTTCTTAATGAATGAGGACTGCATTAGAGAACTACAGTTCTGATCAGATCGCTGTATATACCAAATAATAAGATTTTATAATATACAATAACTTGTTGATATTAAGGATTTGCCTACTAGGAACTATTTAGCACATTTATTGCACGTATAATTTTAGGAGCAATTATTTACAGTAAAGAACAAAGAAAGCACACAATTATCGAGATACAATTTAATAAACTCATTTCATTATTAATGACATTGGCAGATCAAATTCAGCCCTGGTCTAACTCCGCTGAAAGTACTACTCTTGCAGCAGAAACGAATTTGGCTCTGGTGCATGTTATTGTTTAGATAACTATTCTGATCATACATTGCCTACCTGTGATGAATCTTGGGGGAAAACTGCATCGAAAGCAAACATCTTGGGTGGAACCTGGTTGCCTCTTTTCTGGAAAGCATTCTGACCTCCACAGGCCAATGGGTCATACAGTGTGACTTGCTTCTTACGGGGGTCAACTTTTAAGAAAGAGCTGGACTCAGACGTGTCTCTGGCAAGCGTGGAAGAAATGCGCACCATGACTTTGACCTATCAGCAAACACACAAAAAGATTAGTCTGTTGGATGCTCCAGACTGGTATGTTGAATGAACTTTCCAATCACACTCAATCAAATCATACTTCGTTGCTGTAGCTAGTGTCTCAGTGGAAGTCAGTGAAGACACAGGAATTATAGGCAGAATTTGGCCTAGAATACAAGTGAATAAAGCCAGAGCTCATCTCCATCTACTTCAACAAGCAACTTGTGTATTTAGAATTACGAGGTACATCATGGTGTTTTAGTGTCGATGTTACTCAAGTACAATGATGAGGTATTACATCACTTAGTCTTACTCTCAATATAAATTGAAAATTAACTGTACCCCAGTGGCCCAATTAAGAAAGCTGAAAGGTAATCTAGACTGCTAAGCTATCAGAACTGCTGTGGTTTCTACGAAGCAGTCTGATCAATAAAGCAAGCACAGAAAAGCCAGATCTGTAATTTACACCTTTCCAATTCTAATCCAAATGCAAATAGTTCTAAGTGTCATCATCAAAGAGTTGAGAAAAGAGCCCTGTTTTAATAGTCAGATTTTGAAATTATCATCAAGGGAGTGGAATGTAATAAGCGATAAAAGATTTGTTAAAACATGTTAGCTCATTAAATGACTACATAATAAGACGTTATTCCTAAGACAAAAATACATCTTCATGGATTTAATGAGGCTACACTGCATCCTTAGCCCAGTTGGTAAGCAATTTAGATGTAAGTAAAACTGATGACAGTTGGTCTGGCTTTGGTTCTCCCCGAATTCACCACCTGCAGACACATGAGTTCTTGAACTCTGAAGGGCAAACATCACCTCTCTGCCAGCTCTTGCCTCTAGCCACACCTGCACGCACTTTGTCTTAGAGCAGACTGACTTTCACACCAACCAGACAGAACTTTTATCTAAATACTCCTTAAGTGCATGTCACTTGTATCAAACCCAGCCACGGTTAGCATGCAAGTGACCACAAAGGGTCACCTCAGCACAGGGTGGGAGCACATCTGCTGTTGGAATGGCAGATACTCCCTGGGAGGAGGTTGTAGCCCTAAAAGTTAGATGAGGCTGCAGTTTCTGTTGGCCTCATCGAGAATGGTGTTCTTTGTATGTAGATCTCATTTCATGCTGGCCTAAACTCATACCACATGGAAATAAATCAGCTGCTTTGAGAGGTAAAATCTGGGCAAATTAATTTTTGACACAACTCCTTTGAAGACAACAGAATGAGAACAGAGATGAATTGGGATTATTCAGTATTTTTGAGATGTCTTCTCTATATGTCTGTGAGTCAAAGTAGTAATTTGACTCCACGTGTTTTAACCTGGGAAAACAAGTTGTCGTTAGATGGTGAAATGGTCACAAATCTGTGCACGTGATTCAGTTTTACACAATTAGTTGAGGGACAGAGGAAAAATACTGCTTGGGTGTGAATGGTTCTCTTCTCAACGGTTCAGCTGAGCTGCTTATGAAACCTAACCTCTAACTGGAAAAAGCCACTTCCGATATTTTGCCAAAGGCATTCTTCTAAACCCAACCCTAAGCAGAGCTGATTTCTGTTGAGGACAAAGGCAGCCAACACCCTCGGTCAGTCGACATGAACTAGGCAAGGTTTGAATGTTTATTCCAGCCCTAGGTCTCCTGGAAGCTCAGAAGGGAGGCACTCGTCAAGTTAGCAGGGAAGGGAGGGAGTACAACGCTGAATCCTAAAGGAGCAAGAAAACAAAGAGCAATATCAGTCTTGATCTGTTTTCCTGTTTTCAACTTTGGATGCCTTTGGCTTCTTCTGTGGTGTCCCACATATGTAAACAGATGCCAATATCAAAAGCATCAGGCTGATCTGCTGGAAACCAAAATAAATGCTATTCTTCAAATACTTTAAATAAAAAACTTGCTCTGCTTTAGAAAACTATTTCCCTATAAGTTTATGTGTATTTTTGGCTGCTATGAATCCATGTCCTCCAGATCCTTGATCCTTGTGTGCAAAGGAGAGTTAACTGAATACCCTAGGGCTAAGTTTCTTTGGGTTTTGGAGAACGGCTAGTGTGTGAAATTTAACAACCCTTCACATACAGGCAACCTAAGAGTCCTTTCTTAGTCTGGCCATAAACTGTATGGGCATTCAGTTTTAACTTCAGCTACACCAGTTTTGTTACAGTATAATATCACTAGCTTGGGTCCTGATTTAAACCTGTTCACACAAAATCAGATTAATACCTGTCACTTCTTACTGAAGTAATACTGCAAATCCTCCTAACTTCCAACAGCTATAGTGACAGAAGCTGAGGCATCAGGTTTTTCTTTCCCTGGAGTAAAAGACCAATTTAACTGAAATCCTAAAAATTTACTAGCATCAGATAAACTGAATGAACCGCTATAAAAAACAAGCTCATCTCAGAAGTCCCAGGAGTTTCTGACCATTTGGCTCCCCAACTCTGGCAAATATAGACATTTCTCAAGAAAAATACTGCTATTGTCTTGAACCTTTGTATTTCCTGTGCATTGGGGATTTTTGTTTTGAGACTTAATGGTTCGTGTATGTTAGGGCAGAGGAAAATCATACTGATTACATGTGGGTATCCTGATAGCTGGACAACTTCTTACTCTGAAGCTAGTTTGTTTGCAGCTGGCATGAAGATGTCTGTGCCCCTTGGCACAGCTTATCGTGGGTAATTCCTCTCACCTCCATTAAGACCATCCTGCAGGAGCTGTCTCTATCTGAGCCAGCTGTCTGACCCCTTTGTAGACAATAGAGAGAAACAGGCCCTTCTAGCACGTAATTCCCGCAGTCTGTTTTATAGACCTGCCTTCCAAAAAGATGAGTTGCACTCCACGAGTGCTTCTTGCTTTCTCTATACCACCGCAAGCATTTTAAAGGATTACCTGAGATGTAGATGCCCACATTGTAGGCTGTCTAAAGTTACTCTTTTTGCTGTAAGCATAATAATAATGCTTTTCCTGAGCAGCACAGGCCCTGATCCAAATTCAGTAGCACAAACAAATCTGTGTGACAGTCTTCAGCAAAACAAAAATAAAGATAGGTGCATGAGTGTGATGGACACTGAACACAAGGAGTAGCAATAGATTGTTTGAACTCATCTGGTAATTTGTAGACCCTAGTGTATTCTCCCAGGCCAGTTTCACACCAGTGTAACTCTTTCAAAGTACTTCTGATTTACATTACATTAATTGAGAAGACAATTAGATCCTGGCTGTGCAAAATACATGTCCACTGTATGCCGTGGGAGCTGTGACTATAGGAAAACCCAACAAGCAGGCAAGTAACAGGCAACCTTCAGCCCTGAGAAACACATATTGGGATTCAGAACTGCATACAGAACTGTGGCACAACAACCTAGGCAGACCAAAACAGATTTTAAAACATCTGAGCTAGATGTATCTTCTGAGGAGACAGGCAGGCTTGTGGTCTGGGAATCAGGCTGAGACTGGGGAGCTAGGACCCCTCCTAACGGCTGTGCCACAGATGCAGTAGGACTGTGAACTAGAGTGACGCAATCTCTGTGTTTCACGCTCCCCACCTGTACAACGGGCTGAGTCACAGCTTACTTCACTGCAAGGCATACAGGTACACTCGGACATTACCGGGCTCAAAGGACTGGCAGTTGCCATTAGGTAGGCACTCCATTATTAAACGTTATTATGCATGTAACCTAAACCCAAGGATTTGTGCAAAGCATTTCCCAACAGTGGTTATGACAAGAGTAAATCAACTAAGCTACAGCAGTAGAAACATTGGGAGACCACGGCCTCCTGCTCTGCCGTTTCACAGTCCTTCATGCAATTTATAGCTGGGGTAGCAGGGGGAGGCTCACAGTCCACGCTGGCCCCAGCAATCCACGCCTCGGGGGAGGCAGTGCGAGGATGGGCGAACGTAAGTCAGCCAGCTATGGGGATAGCACAGGAACTTAATGGACTTAAAAGACTTCAGTTCAATTTAAGGAACAGACAGGTTGAATATCACAGTGCTGCTCGGGGGAAGGCAGAAATACAGTACGGTTAATTTGAAACTAACTGAACAGTGAAGTTTAAGAACTCTAATACTTTATGCTTGCAATTTATATTCAAATAAACTGTAAATCGAACTTCTCCTTAAAAAGAAGAAAGCAGGTTTTCTGCTTCACTTCCTATGTGTCATTACTCCTTTAGTCCAATGCTACAGTTTCCCACTAATCTCTAGTAATTGAAGGGTTTAAGAGATACCACTTGTGATTAATGGGACCACTCAGTCTGCCAGAAATTCTTATTTGAATCCCAGTGATCAGGTCTTGGCAGCGCCCAGCCTTAGACGCACCTCTGACTGTTTCTGTGGGGAAACATGAAAGCAGTCTTGAGACATGCGCTGTTGGTAAAACAAACAACCTGGGCCTAATTTTGATGTAATTTTACACTCATGCAAACCTGGCTGAACTCAGCAAGAATTACCCTAGCTTAAGAGTGGAGAGGGAGAATAAAAGAAAAGGTCACTTGCTCGGCATCATTATTGTGCTGCTTCTAGGATATAAATTCACCTCTGAATTCTGCTCATGCTGGAAGCATTTTTTAATGTGTTTTCTCCTGTGAGGTCACAGGATTGCATTTGACAACTATTCAATCCAACAGGACCCCCATTTGCTTCTCTGGATTGCAGTTCCTGCCTACAAAGATTTGTTCTGTTCTTGAATGACTTTTACAGTCATTGAATTTCACAATATTACTCCCGATGTGCAATGCCACAAATGAAAGCGCAATCAGAACTGCACTGTTTAGGTTTCCCCAGCAAGGTTTCTTTGTATTTTTGTATATGTATTTATTTTATACATACATGTGCGTGTATTTAAATTATATACACTATTTTTAAAAAATGTGTATACATTTTTCTGAAAATATATATAAAAATTTAATATATATACATTTTTCGTAAATTTCGCTCTAAATCGTAATTATTGGCACTGAAGAGTTCCTTCATGGGTACCATTCAGTAGCATCAAGGGAAGATATAGGGGAAT